TGAAGCGGTGCCGGTAACGTTGCAAATCTGGGGTCTTATAGCCAAACGGGATTGCTATGGCTATCGACCGCAGAAGGTTTTCAAATGCCTCGCGCAAACGCAAAATTTTGAGTGTTTACCAACGATATTAAATACCTTAGATACAACAACACGAACATAATCATGGCCGAAACCTGTTCAAAAGGCCCATTGAATGATCCACGGAGCTCCGTAAGATGATCGCGTTGTCAATAACAATGTAAGCCATTATTTAAACATTGAAAGTCACCTTTAATACATACTGTATACGGTGTTAATTAAACCGCATGCGCCAAAGAGTTGTGACAGATTGAACTGCAAGCTGGTTTTTACGAGATATTGCTTTAAGCGGAATAACATAGACCTGACTTCTTTGACTCTACGCGCAATTTGGATGCGCTGTTAGCAATATAGCAAGAACGGACCGAGAGGAAAAGAGACGGCTATATAACCGACCATGCATTTGAATATCATAATTATTTTGTATTATAAATCAGTTTATAGTCAGTATTAGAACAAAATTTGCTTCAAATGCGTGAAATTAAGAAACATTGATAAGATACCTGTCGATAAGTATTTTTCTAACTTTTTTTCACAGAGCCTTGTGGCATCTTGATTTTTCAGCGGTCCGCACGTGACTATGAACTAAGAAATGCTTAAGTGTACTTCAAGCACTTCTTGATTGCGACACATTTTGAGCGCACGTGGTGTATCTCTAGGGTATTTAATATCGTTGGTATATACAGAATAGCATTGCAGGACGAAGAATAATAATCCTGGCATAATAACTTTGAAATTATTTATATATATACAATTAGAATGGTTCTAAATGAGTTCGAGTCATCTCTCGATGGTTCTTGATCATAAACATGCATGATTGCCAATCTCCGAACCGGGTAACGGCAAAAAAAGACATTCTTTACCCAGATACTGCAATACGAGCGGTAATTACATGGGTTCTTAGATTTATTATCTGAATAAACTCTACTTAGGTAAGAATTAATTTTAAATATTAAGAGCGGACATTTGAGAAATAGGTATTTGAAAAAACTATTGCTGTCACGCATTGGCAAATACCGTGTGAAAGAGACAACGCTGAAAATTTCGTATAAAAATTGCGTAATTCCAGGTTTGGCTCTCGACGATTTTCTCCTCGAAAATTAAATATAAATATAAATGTAAAATAAATTTTACACAAAGAATAATAATGCCTATGCCTCTATGCTTGTTTTTTTGTAATTGCTCATTAAATCTTAACACTAGTCTTCAGTGGTGATAATTTTTTTATTGTATTTGGCCTTTTTCGAGGGCTTCTAGTTTCTTTGAAATACAAGTTATCGAAAAAAGGAAGACATAGGAGCATAGAAATATAATATAGAATAGCAATGTACATTTAATTATTATGTATAAGATAAGTACTTTCTATTATGGTATGTTCATATTATTAATTATTTTTTTTACTAAAGCCACATTCGTGACTTTCTGTACTCCCGAAGGTTGACTGTCAGAGAATGCTTTTAACGTTAAGTCCGCCTTATGTCCATTTGGTAATTGTGGCAATAACGTTTAAATAAATAAAGAAATAAAATAGAATGAGTAAAACTTTTCGTATAAACGTCTGTATGGAAAAAATATTGCTAGCCTCTCCTCTTAATGATATTTATTATTGACGAATATTTAGTAATGGCGCTTTGTTTATTTTATCGTCACTAATTGATTGATTTTGTTTATTGTAATTAGGAACTTAATTTTGTTTGCTCATTACTAACAGGAATAACACAACAAACTTTATAGAATTTTAAAGTCTAACAGTGATTATTTCGTGAGATAATATTTACATGTTTCTTATATTTTCACACACAACAAACATTAAATAAAATATATTTTAATGATATTTGTTTCTTAGGTTTTCAGATACACCATCAAAACAAGTTTCAGCGGTAAAGATGCACTGATTTATTTGTTCTTGAAGTTTCGCATCCTTTCCAGGGTGCGTCGGCAGAATTTAATTCTCTCCAGTCTGCGTCGTCAGAATTAATTCTTTCCAAGCTGCGTCTTCAGAATTAAATCTCTCCAGTCTGCGTCGTCAGAATTAATTCTTTCCAGGCTGCGTCTTCAGAATTAAATCTCTCCAGTCTGCGTCGTCAGAATTAATTCTTTCCAGGCTGCGTCTTCAGAATTAAATCTTTCCAGGGTGCGTCGCCAGAATTTAATTTTCTCCAGTCTGCGTCGTCAGAATTAATTCTTTCTAGGCTGCGTCGGCAGAATTTAATTCTCTCCAGTCTGCGTCGTCAGAATTAATTCTTTCCAGGCTGCGTCTTCAGAATTAAATCTCTCCAGTCTGCGTCGTCAGAATTAATTCTTTCCAGGCTGCGTTTTCAAAATTAAATCTTTCCAGGGTGCGTCGCCAGAATTTAATTCTCTCCAGTCTGCGTCGTCAGAATTAATTCTTTCCAGGCTGCGTCTTCATAATTTATTACATTATATTTCTAGACTATGAGCGAAAATTCTTATTAAGAATTATAAATATTTCTTCATGTTTCGGAACTTTTCAGACTCTTTAATCATAATTTAATACTAATTTGGCATGTTCATAAGTATCTTGTGACGTATTAAGTATTAACACTTCTTATTAAGTATTCTTTGAATATTAAATAAATTATTTATTTAGTAACGTTGTGTTGTATTACCAAATCATTATTAAGCGTAAAAGAAAACCGTTCTTGAGATATTCTTTAAATTTTCATAAAAATGTGAAGCTGATAAAAAAAAATATGTTGATAAGGGTATCGTGATTAATCAATAGGCAGATGAAACAGATTGTAGACATATTTCACAAGGAGAAGCAATTTTTTATCAATGTTTAAAACGCATATGAAATGTTGTTCTTAGTAGATTTCTCGCTTGGATTGGAGTACCCGTCTGGGAAGGATATATTCACCTTCCACCCATTAATATTGGAAATGTTTTTTGTCGCTCCAGTAGGCCCCCATTTTCGCTGAAAGTGCGACTCGGCCGAGATACCTCGAGGTTTAGGGCCACGAGGACGTATGAGGGCTCAAAAGACGTGGAATTTGAAAGGCTTTAAGAAGATGTAATGTTTTTATGGGAAAAGTCGAAAAAATTTTTGGACATCGAAAGTATGTAACCGAATTTTTTCGACCGAAAAATCGTGTGTTTTCACAGAAAATTTCCGGTATCTCGACAACGGGACCGAATTACAAAAATATGAAAAAAAGCACCTCGGCATTGAACCAAGGAACATTTTAGGTCATTACACTTTTTTCGATATTGGTGTCGGTTGAGGCTGTAGAGGGCCCTTAGACGCGAGTTTTGCATAGCCCGAGATGGGAAATAAAAATATATTACAAACATGATTTTTATTTATTAATTTTTACCTACCCCGTGACCCTGTGGAGCCCTGGAATCTTACACACCGACAGAATAACAACTCCACCAAAAGGTATTATTGTTATTTGGTCGTCTGTAAGGAAAGGGTTACTACTCCATAAGGCGCTCCAATAGGGGTGATGACGGGGTACAGTAAACGAAATTCTATTTAGTCCGTCACTTAGATGATCAAAAAATAATGGACACGTATCTTTCTTTGGGCAATCAACCAAAAAATTACAAAGTTATAGCGCGTCAAAGTTTGGGAGTAGGGGTTCGTGACGTCACTTTTAAGTGAAAATTGTACCAAAACGTGACGTCATGCGACTTTTGAAATCCATATGTCTCTGCAATGTTTATATTATGTGAAAAAAGAAATAATACGTATCCAATACTTTTTGATAATCTACCTGATAAACGCAAAAAAAAATAGTCATCATCCCTATTCGACAGGAAAATCTAGTGGATTTTCCATCCTCTCTTAAACTTCACAGAAAACTGTAACCGTATAATTCTTAAGTGTTGTGTTCCAGTAAGTAAGGTTAAGGCAGCTAACATGCAGTTTTATTCGCAGTATTAACGGCACGTGTTTATAGGCTTATGATAGCGATGGCCGCTTAATAACAGGTCAATGACCATATAAATGCTACTTTGCAACCCTTTTTGCGTTAAGAAAGAACATATTGGAGGATCTAATCGGATGATATGCCACAATTAATTTAATTTTTAATCTTGTAGATCATAAGAAAACATGACGAAAATTTTCAATGTCAAATGCTTAAAACTTTAATACAATTAACGATAAGCTTTATTATTTCAACATTTTTATTGAAAAACAGGATTGGTAGGATTTTAATAAGACATTTTTAGTAACAGTTCCAATTTTATAAGAAGAAATCATTTTCTTTTTTTAAGTTTTTAGACATTAAGTAGTTTGAAACGTTTGTGATTTGTATGTAAATGACCAATTATTAATAAAGTTTCTTTTAACTTTCCTTATAGCTATATAAAATGCGACGTTGCCTTACGGCTAAAAGAGGGGTTTAGTTCGTTATCAACCTGGTAGGTTTTTTTAATAGATACATATTGGTAAATCCTACAAAATGTTTACTTAGTACAATTGACAACTCAGTTCTTGTCGGTGTCTTTTATGTTATTATTTATGTCCGTTTGACTCGTTTTGATTCGTCTATAAATAATAATAAACTAATATTGTGTTTTGAAAATATAACCTAATCATTCGTTATTTAAATACTTACTTTTTAAAACAAAAATTTGAATAATTTGTCTGTCACCTTGTGAAGTCACTACGTATTTTTTAAAGGCATAGGTAGTTAGTAAGAATATGATAATTATTTATGCATAAAACGACTATTTGAAAACATTTCTTCAGAAATGAAACTACAGTGTTTCTTTAACAAACAACATCCTTTCGTGTAGATGTTTTTTCTACTGTGTGTTTTGATAGATGAAATGTACGCACAAAACTATGAACAAGTTGTGGTTTAGATTGAAAATATTCATTAATATGCGTTTTTTTGCTGAATTGCATTAGAGTTTTATTTCTTTTTAATACAGTAACTTAGGCTTACCTGTAATTCAAGTCCATGCTCTCGAAGTTATAAACCGAAGAATATATTCCCGCCAAAAACACAGGAAACAGTATAAGTATAAAATTTAATATATTGAATTTCCCGAAAGGTCCCAACAAATTCAGAATATCGTCCACGGTCACTTCTTCATTTTCTTTCTTCTCCGGATCCATATTGAAACTTTTCTAAACAAACGAACAAAAAAGAAAACAACTCTTTATTTTATTTTTTAATTTACGCGCGTATTTTGTTCATTTGAAATTGGAACGCGCGTGCGCTCGACCGGTCACCTCACCAATAGTGAACGAGCCGCTGGCGATTGATAGTTTTAAATGTATAAAAAAACAATCGTAAAGTGGCCGTGTTCGAAAGAGGTTGCGATCACGGGAAAGTTTTTCCTATTTTCAATCTAAGAATATCTGCGATTTGGGTGGAGAGGGGTAGTGTAAGAAACTCATTAATTAGCGAGTGTCTAGTACTTTTTTTTCTTTTCAGTAGACACTTTTTTCGTGAGTTAATTAAAAACTCCTTTCTCATTTGAACGATTTGCAGGAGTTATGTTTTCAGCGCTTTTAGCACAATGTGTCGTTCTTGTCGTCAGCCAATACGGAAAACGATACGTACTGTATCAAGTTTCGCGTTCGTATAAACATAAACATAATATACAGCGAACGAAAGCCATATTTCATCGATAGCCAATATCGACAATACTTGGCCGCAGCGCCCTTGGCCATGAAAACTGTTTTTATAACTGTTACCCAGCTATTTTAGAAAGTAAGTTAGAGATTATAGGAAATAGTGGTTGTTGAGTAAAAACATTTTTAGAGGTTGTTTTTTTATAACAATGTTAGACGCCATGATTAGATATGAATACGCAGAAACTGGTTTTCTGGTCATTCTAATTGGGATTAAAATATTTTATTATTGAATTAATTTATGATAAGTTGAAGTAGCTTCTAAATGCGTAGACAGCTGATGCGGAATATAAATTTTCTAGTAGTTATCTTATTAGCTCCTAACTAAATATTTAGTGTTACCTAAAAGTATATTTATCTATTCATTATTCATTATATTATATATTATTAATCTTCTTCTTTTTGGTTATATAAGGCATAAGGTGAAGTTTAATTACCCGAACACACCTAATTTTAAGTGTGAGAGGAGTCCAGTTGAGGTGCGGAGGAAAATTTACCGAAAATCAATTCACATCTTGTCGTCCTGAACCCAATCCCATGCCTCTTGGAACCCTGGATATTTCCTCACCCTTCTTCTTTTAGCCGTGTTTGGCATTTTTGCTTCCATTGTTGTGTAAGATGATGGATATTTCTCCAGGCCAGCGCTCTAATTCGAGCGATAAACCTGTTTCCCACTAGCTCTCTTAAAGTTTTATCGATTACATAGTTTTCCGACTTCCATAAGTGCTGGGCTTGGATCAGGCTGAACTAAATGTCTTAAGTAAATAAGTTAAGGTCCTTTCCTTAGATCATCTAAAAGGCACTCACAGTGACTTTCCATGCTCAGCTTCTTTCTTCAGTTCACTCCAAGACTTTCTGTTTTTCTTCGCCTCTGCTATTATGAACGAACGCCGTTGGGTTTTGTCAGACGCCCACGTTTTTGCTTCTTTTGTGGGTTCCAATCCGATACTTCTTTAGGTCGGAATTTCTACGAAACATGTGGCCATCCAATTCCACTTCTTCTTCATCATCAACCTATTAATGTTCCCACTGATGGGACACATACTTTCCCTATACATGGTAGGCATAGGGAGGATGGACCTTGAGCCACCAACGCGGACCCAGTGCGGAGTGATGCGTACTAACAACTGTAGATGAAACCGGGTCCAACGGCTTAACATGCCCTCCGAAGGCGCTCAAGATAATTTTTGGATCACCCATTCAATGACCGAAAATTATAAGAGTTGCTTAATTTCTACGAATCAAGCACTTATGGTGCTTGATTTTCCATTTTTCGGCAGGCAACGTTTCCGCAAGTCATGGTTCAACTAAATGAATGATATTATAAAATTTCAAGTATTTATATTTTTTTTCCTGTCATTAAATTGTCCAATATTATTGGTGACGTTGGTGATGCTATATCATTCATACATGTTCGACGAGCAATAAAACTTTTTTTAGTTAATCGATGAAAAATGAATATATTATTAGAATCAATTAGCTAAGTAATTAGAGAAGTAGAAGACCAAAAAAGTTGAATATATTAATGAGGTAGACTGCCTATAAAGTCCGTATTAATAGATCGCTCTCAACTCTGAGATCTATCTTGAGTACGATCTTGAGATACTGTTTTGTATGAAAACAGTATCTCAAGATCGGAGTCTCAGCGTTGAGAGCTATCTATTAATACGGGTCTAAGTTGGGTGATCCAATTACTCTTAAACATAACGATTGTTTGTAGTGAATATATTTTTTTCTGAATTTGAATGAAAATTACTAACATCTTGAAGTTCAGGGAACTGTGAATTTTTGTAAATTGATATAGGAATTAAAGATATATTTAACCCAGAACACTTATTTGGAATCTAGGTACTGAATTACCATACAAACTAAAATCTTAGTCACATTCGACACTAAACAATGGTTGTATTTAGTTGTAGTCGTCCAAATGGTAGAGATTGCTGCCCCGGGTGGGCGCTCCAATTCGAGCGGAATATTATCCGCGGTGCTCTGCCTAACTTAAAATTTATATTTTACTACCACCCACTTGCATTTTTAGCAACGCAAAGTTCTGAAATCAAATTTGAAAGCTACAGACTCATTCTATCGCCATTTGACTTTAAACAATATACAAAGACAGAATGACGTGTAAAACAGAATTAAGCTTTTTAGTCTAGCTATTCAAAGGGGGAACGCTGCCAGTATCTTCGGAACCTTGCCTAAAGGGACTCCTTTTAGTAATATATTTTAGTTATCATATTATATTTTTTAAGGTTTTTAGTTTAAGGTTCATTGTTCCTGTATATATTATTAAGCTATTAATTTTTAATAAGAATTGTGTTGCAAGTGGTCCTAAAAATATTAGCCCGTCAAAAACACAATCGAACCTAGAGAACTGTTGATTTATTTCTGTGCAGAGAACTGAGGATAAAGAATATCACATAATGGGTTAAATTACAAGATTTTTATAATATTCAGTAAAACAATGGACAAAATTTTATTTTGTTTACTACGTAAAGGATCAAAATGTTCATATTCTATTTACAATCATATGACGTCACTCGTATACCATCAAAAGGTGAAACGGTACAAAATAATGTAACTTTACAAACGTGTTTCTTTCACGAGTTTACAAATGTGTGAGGTGTGACGTTATCCGAGACTCGTCTAGTCTTATTTGCTTTGATCACGTCAGGACGACACTTAAAAAAAACTATTTCATGAATTTTTCAAAAGAATAGTAATTTTTTTCTTAAAAAAATGCAATTCGCTACTAAGATTCATATGTTGTCAAATGGACGGCATCGATTGGTGCGTTTCACAGTCAATAACAGCCTTTGGGTGTAGCATTCTGAGTGTATTTGATTAAATGCTGTTTAATGTTAATTTATACTGTTATTGGGAAAACCCAATTGCAATTTAAATCACTGTTTTCAGTGATTTACTCGTTGTTTATATTTCTACATACACTTGACCAATCATTTACCAAGTCTTTTGTACCGGTCTTTTGTATCGGACCTTGGAAAAGGTATGAAAAATCAAGTGTTATGTAGATATTCTACCAATTTGGTGAATTTGAATCTATGCTAAGAAGATTCTAAAGTTGTTGTAAGATTCAAACTAAGCTCTGTATTTTACTTAGGTGCAGACCTTTTATGGAAAATTATCTAGACTCATAGAGCTCTTGTCGGTGCAGTCTATGAATCTCTCCCTGTCCTCCGTCAACTCTTTGAGCCCTGTGTACGACTCGACGCCAACCTTTTCCTTAATTTGCTTAGTGTAGGCTATCCTCGGTCTTCCCCCTCCTCTCTTTCCTTTCACTTTTCCCTCAATGATGTTCTTTATGAATTCGTCGTGTCGCAAAAGTTGGCCGAAATTCTTCCCTTTCTGTTCTCCAGTGTGTCGTGCAAAGCTCTGCGTTCATTTACAATGTCTAATACCCCTTCATTTGTCAGTTTCTCGGTCCAACTAATTCTTTCCATCCTTCGCCAGCTTGTACATCTCAAATGCTTCCATGCGAAGCAGGCATATATGTGCCATTGTTTGTGTGTGAGTGTAGTAATTACAGTTTTGATTTTACGTTAAACTGCATTTATGTGCGTATTCTCTATCATCATCATCATCATCAGCCTATTAATGTCCCCAATGCTGGGGCACAGGCCTTCCCTATGGATGGAATAGGGAGATTGGGCCATAACCACCACGCGGGCCCAGTGCGGATTGGTGGGTGCCAGCGACTGCAGATGCAGCCGGGACTAACGGCTTTACGTGCCTTCCGAAGCATGGAGAAGCTCGATATAGTAATTTTTAGTCACCCATCCAATGACCGACCACTGCGAAAGTTGCTTAACTTCAACGATCGCAGCCGAACGCGCTAACCACTTGCGCTATCGAGCTCCTCATTCTCTATGTGAAAACCGCTTGAAAATCCGTATAATGGTTTTTGGTTCATCGTATATTTACATACAGATCGAAACAGTGACGGACCTTGTTTAAAAATATATAAAGTGATAATGCTGTAATTCCATTAGCAAAAGTACTCACATTATCGGTTGATAGGATTTTACTATCTCGTCGGGAAAGTTCGCAAACCGAGCAGCAACGCATTCTATGGTTTTCTTCACTCCCAGCTCAGTAATTGAATGCTGTGTTTGAAAAATAACGTGTCCTGTTCATACAAGTAACATTCCTAAGTTAACGGAATATATTATTTGCGAAGTCGTCAGAGCGACAGAGGTGCAACTTAACGCACTTGTCCCACCTCCAACGATGAACGATAAGCTAGTAGAGCGAGAAAGTAGAAACTAGTTATAATTTTTATTTTTTTAAACGCATGTCACAGCTCGATGTTTAAATCTGAAGAAAATATTACTAGGAAAAAATCCACGCGGACCAGGCAGCAGACGGGACTCGAACCCGCACCCTTCGCTATCCGGGCGAAATCACTGACCAATTATGCTACCGCGGCCCTGACGGCCGTGTCGAATTCATTCTAGCCTTTCTTAAGCTGCAAGGCAGCGCCATCTCTTCGCGTTGTGGGTAACCTACAATGTCAAATGAATACCTTTACAAGTAGAAACGAGTTGTCGAGCAGCGGTAAGCGAGTTTGTAGTAATTTTATCGCTGGGCAACAAGCTAGTGTGTGAGTACGATGGGCGATTACTCCCATCACTCGTTTGCTAACACAGTCGTATCTTTAACACGAACCAATATCGAATTCGAATAGTTTGCGAGTGCGAAATGTCATTGCCAATTTTTTAAGGAAATTTAAACAGAACGGACGTAATGGGAACTAAAAATTAGTACCCTTAGCACGAACCAATGTCGAATTCGTAACGTTTGCGAGTATGAAATGTCATTGTCAAATATTGTATGGAATCTTAAACAGCAGCGCCGTAACGGACATAATGAGAACTAAAAATCAGCACACATTTGACAATGAAATTTCGGACTCGCAAACTATTCGAATTCGATATTGGTTTGTGCTAAGGGTACTGAACAAAAATGCACGCGCACGTGCGCCTTCAAGCGAGCATTTCCGTGCGTATATTATCTTTGATAGCTCTTGTCGCTCAGCGAAAAACTCGTGGAGCGAGTTCTCGCCGGCAGTATGAACAGTCAGCGATCAACTACTAATATATGCATCTCTTTTGTTAACACTGAATCTATAACTATTGTACGATTCT